GCCTCATGACCAAAGTGTCCCTAAAATGGGGACAGTGGGGCATACGGGACCTCAAGGGCCCATCAGGCCATCCTGAGACATGAAGTTCTTTTCGCAAGACCCAAATCACTAGGCTTTTGGAGAAGGAAGTAAATGGCTCCATGCTCTCCTTACCAAATCTCCAGATGGCTGGCAAGGCTCTCCAGAATGAGCACGCCACACAGTCAGGGCTCTGGGCACCTTCCACCACCTTCTCGGGGAGGGGAGGGTGGAGGGGAAGTGTTCTTTGCATTTCTTGCAAGATGGTGAGGTTTCTTCCCTGGGCCCCGCCTCGTTCCAGCCCTCCCTGTCAGAGTGGCTGTTAGCCAGCCCGCAGAGAAGACTGGAATTAGTGCCCGGGTTTACCACCCACAAGCCCGTTTCGGGTCGTTTTTCACTTTGCTAGTCTTTCACATTCATTCTTCACCTTTCCATTCAGTTCTGTAGTATCACCTCCGTGTTTTGATTCGTGTCATCCTCTGATGACAAGGAAAAGTCTCTGTTCACGGGCACTTACTGGGTGCTACCTTTGGGGCCCTACAAAAGTCGTCCTTAATAGCCTTCGAAAGAGCCCGGGGGAGTAGGAGGTGATCTCCCTGTTTTACGTGAGCATTTGAAACCCAGAAGGGTGGAGGCATTACTCCAAAGCCACAGGGCGTTGTAAGAAGCAGAGCCAGGATTGAAATTCTACTGCGTGTGACCAAGAGTGAAATCCTTTCTTCTTTCTACCATCCCACACCCCTCTCCACTGTTACCTGCGGAGAGGACGCCCGCCCGGTGAGGTGGGCTCCATCTGTTCGCACTGCAGCGGCTGGTCCTGCTTATCCAGGGGGCTGCTTTGGAACGCAGAGAGGTCCTTCTTAAAGGAATGGGTTACTTTCTCGAAGAGTACCATTACTTGTGTTGATTTCTGTTGCCCGTCTTTCTCCCCAGCCCTCCCCCTCCTGCTCCCCCCCCCACACCCCTTGTAGAGCAGGAAGAACATGCTTGATCTCACAATTGAACACTTACTCCTTTTTCCTTTGAGGACCTGATCTGCATTTCTGACCTGTAGTCCAGGATCCCAGAGCAGCTGTGGGCCCACCAGGTCCCAGAGTGTGTCAGTGGTGGTGGTGGCCTGAGGGCTTGGAAAGCACATCCTAACTCGGCCCTATCCTAGCCATGTTAACCGGTCAACTGCCCTTGGCAAGCCTCAGGGGGTGCTCCGCCGGTGACCGTGAATGCAATATGTTTATTGATCACACTGAGCAAAATCAACAAGGTTCCTGCTACCAAGGTTCTTGGACCTCATGTTCAGGTGGGAGAGAGAGGTGCTAAGCAAACAAACAACAGAACAAGAACATTTCAGATGGTAATGAAGTCACTATGCCAGGGGTGTGCTCGAGAATGTGAAATGTCTGATTCTCTGGGGAAAAAAAAAGAGCCCCAGTGTGTAGCATTTGCCAATTTTTGTGGTATAAATATCCCCACTGTGGCTGACTTCAGGTTACCAAAGTGGCACCAGCTGGCTCTTAAAATTTCTAAAAACTTTAACAAGTGGCTCTTGCAAGGCTGAAAAAGCTGGCTCCAGCGTTGGGTGTGGTTCGGGAAAGACCGGAAGGTATGTGAAGACAAAATGTACCAGTGGGAGAGCATTCTAGGCAGAGGAGGGGGCTGTGCAAATGTCCTGTGGTTGGAGAGAGCTTGGTGTGCTCAGGGAATAGAAGACTGACTGGTTTTGGCAGGGACCTAATGGGGGTGGCGGGAGAAATGAGCCACTGGGCTGGTGGAAGCCTCAGAGACCCTGGGACCAAGTCTGGATTTTATTTAAGGCCACGGGAAGTCTTTGGAGAGTTGTAAGCAGGGGCGTGTCTGGGTCTGATTTGCATTTTTTTTAAACGTTATTGGGCTCTTCTGTGAAAGGCCAGCAAGAGGCCAGTGAGGGGGCAGTGGTGGTCTGTCCGGGGAGATGCAGTGGTGCTGGGGAATACGTGGAAATGGCTGGATTCAGGTAGAGCCGTAGGGGATGTGATGAGTTTCGTCTTCAGGTGTCACCTGGCTGTTTACCATGAGTACAGCTGGGCTGCAATTTCTGCTCTTCTGTCCTGGGGAGGAGGAACGAACCTGAGACAATCTGGGCTCACTATCTATCCGGCCTACTTAATACGGTGTGATAACTCTGTTTACCACCTCCTGATACATCTAGGAGAGGAGGTGAGGACATCTATTTATCTTGGGTCCAAATGCAAAGCAAAACCAACAAAAACAAAATCTCAACTCGGACCTTCCCGCTTTGATTTTTGCAGGAGAACAGTCCCTCGTTCTTCACTTTGCCTGGGGGAAAAAGATAAGAGGCTCTGACTTGGATTTCCATCTTTGCCCCAGGGCCCCTCTTGGGTGTGTATCAGACATGTAAATGCTGTGGGTGTCGGCCTGGCAGGTTTTAAAAAAAGGTGCCATCTGGTGCTGCTCCGCTCCCAGCCTGTCTCTGTATGGTTTTCAGAAGGGCACGAGAGAATGTCATCTCTCGGGACAGGTGTTGTCCAGTAGAACTTGATGATGGAAATGTTTTGTTCCTGTGCTGTCCACGGCAGTGGCCACTCGCCCTCTGTGGCTTCTGAGCACTTGAAATGTGGCTAGCGTGACTGAGAACCTGGATTTTCCATTTTCTTTAATTTTTGTATTGATGGTGCTGGCCAGGAGAGTTCTAGACTCTGTGTCATCCTCCATTGCCCTGGAGTCTTTGTTTTTCTGGCAGTTGGCTGGAGATCCTAGTTCTGTAGCCCTGCAGAGAAGGGTAGGATTTAGGGAGCTGTCACCTGTCACAGCCCCTTGAGATTTGCCAAGGAAGGAACAGTGTTTCTCAGCTGGGGAGTGGCAAGACAGGACACCATCTTCAAAGTCTCAGCCTAGTCCTCTGTTTCTTTTGTTATTATATATATTAAACCAGTGTTACATCTCACAAGTGTCTAGGCATCGATTCTTCATTCATTGTGAATCAAGTGAGAGTCTTCTCTGACCACCTTCTTAACCTTGATCTCCTCCTCCATCCCTAGAAGTGACCACGGTGTGGTCACTTTGGAGTGCACCCTTTTGCATCTTTTCCTATTGCGTTTATATCTGTATCAATGGATAGACCCCAAACATCCAGCATTTAAAAAAAATAAGTTGAATCTTGCAATAGATGTTTTTCTGCAAGTTGTCTTCTCTTTCAGTAGTGAGTCTGAGATTTTTCTGGGTCAGTTCATTGATCTCTACTGTTTTTTTTTTTTTTTTAATTGCTGTAGTATTTCATAGCCTGGATGTTTCATATTACTCAGAAGCCTGTGGCTATACTTAATTGTTTATTATTCCATTTGTTTTATTAAACATTTTTGTGCATGTCTCCTGAATGCACAATATTTCTTTTAGGGTACATAGTAAGAAATGGAATTACCAGGTCAGAGGGAATATGTAGTTTTAATTTTAATGGCTGCTACATAATACTCTTTAAGGGGCACCTGGCTGGCTCAGTTGGTAGAGTATGCAACTCTTGATCTCGGGATTGTGAGTTCCAACCCTACACTGGGTATAGATTACTCAAAAATAAAATCTTTAAAAAAATATTAACAAAATATTTATGCCAGGTTATGTTCCCATGAACTGCATGAGTGTGCCTGTGTGCCCATAGTCTCTAAAACACGTGATTTTATCAAATGCCAACATGCATGCCAATTGAACAGGTGAAAAATGGTATCCCATAGTTATGTAATTTGCATTTTCCTGTTTATAAGTCAGAATGAACATCTTTTCCATGCTAATGGTCATTTGCTTTTCTGTGAATTGCCTGTTCAAATTTCTTGCTCGTTTTTCTGTTGGATAGTTTTGTTAATTCATTCAGCACACATGTATCAGAATACCTACCATGCACCAAGCAGTATTCTAGGTGCTAGGGATGTTGTGGCAAGTAAAATAAATAGACATGCCTGCCCTCGAAGAGGTGACAGTCTAGTTGTAGGAGAAAGACCTAGGGCACCTGGGTGGTTTGGTTGGTTAAGTGTCTGACTCTTGATTTTGGCTCATGTTATGATCTCAGGGTCATGAGATCGAGCCCCATCTTGGGCTCTATGCTGGGCATGGAGCCTGCTTAAGATTCTCTCTCCCCCTCCCTCTGCCCCTCCTCTCCCTCGCACATGCATGTATACACACACACCCTCTCTCAAGAAAGAGGGAAAGACAGACAGACAGAAAGAAAGAAAGAAAGAAAGAAAGAAAGAAAGAAAGAAAGAAAGAAAGAAAGACCTAGGCAAAAGGAATCGAGGAAATATATAATAATATTAGATGGGATAAAAAGAAGGAAAAGGAGATAGAGAAGAAGGAAGGAGGTAGTCCTACCCACTGGGGGTAAGATTCAATTTTAAATAGGATGACCAGGAATTTTGTAGGCATTCTTTATATATTCTATGTACTAATCCTTTGCCTGTTCTATGTTGCACACATTTTCTTCCAGTCTTTAATTTTCTTTTGACTCAGATGATGGTACTTTTGCCTGGCTCTTTTTTTTTTAATTAAAAAAATATAATTTGTTAGCTGGAATACAGTCATGTAAAAAAGTGTAAGTTCCTTCTTCTGATCTTCCCAGGCAACCATTGTGAAGACTCTGGTTTATATTTCCTGGTTATTTTCTGTCCTCACCACCATGTGACATTCTCCCCACAACCCTCCTGGCAACACTGAGCACTGGCGTTTCTGGCTATTTCCTCATAAATGCAATTCTGATCTACTACATTTGTCCTCATGGTTGTTTAATATTCCATTTTAGAGAGGATCTCTGTAGTTTATTGAAGCAGTCCTTCTACTTGGACGTCAGGGTTACTTCCAGTTCTCCATTCCTCCAGATGATGCAGCAATCCTTTGCTCTTTCTGCTGCCTGTGAGCTGCTCAGATCTTTGTGGGACTACACCCACCAACACCCTGCATACTAAATGTGCTATAATAATTTGATTTTGTTTTCTCCCCTACAGCTCCATGGCTACATGGAAAACAAGCCCCTGGGGCTTCAGATCTTCATTGGGACAGCTGATGAGCGGATCCTTAAACCCCATGCCTTCTACCAGGTGCACCGGATCACGGGCAAAACTGTCACCACCACCAGCTACGAGAAGATCGTGGGCAACACCAAAGTCCTGGAGATCCCTCTAGAGCCAAAAAATAACATGAGGGCGACGTAAGGGCTGGGGGCCAAGGGTGGTGGGTCTTTATGGGGAAACAAGTGGGGCCAAGTGGCAGGGATTTGGGACAGGGGACTCTCTCGAGTTGGCGGAAGGAACCGTGGATGGTAGTTCCCACTCTGTGATGGACCCTTCGAGATTTGTTGGAAAAGTTCTCTACCTAAGTACTTTTCATGTGTGTCAGGAGGAAGAATACCTGTGTGTCTTTGGATTATGTTACTTGGGATGAGGCTAAATTTATTTACATGGAAATGATTAAATAAGGATACAGAAAGGTCAAAACTCATAAAGCAACAGGCATAGAGCTAAAGTTTGGGAGATGTTGCACCCATGTTTTGGAGTTAAAACAAACTCTTCATTAGAAAATAATCTCAAACTTCTAAACCACGAGAATTTTACAAAGAACTCCTGTCTACTGTTCACTCCGATTTACCAATCGCGAACATTTTCCACACTTGCTTTATTACTCCCTTCACTCTTTGCTCTTTCCTGAGCTGTTTGAGTTAGTTGCAGACACAGTGACTTTTTTTACTTTTAGATGCCTGAATGTGCATTTCCTCAGAACGTTCTTTGGTGACCACAGTACATTTATCAAATTAAAGATACTTAATGTTGTTTAAAATAAAGATCCTTAATGTAAAGTAGTAATGTTGATACATCACTCTTATCTATTGAGCAGTCTATAATCAATTTTACCAGTTACATCTTTTTCAGATACTTTTGAGAGTAGAAAAATTGAAATGAGAAAATCTCCCTAGAGAAGTAATTTCCACTGGGGAATTTCTCTCATGACTTTGTACGTGTTTGACCTCCCACTGGGCATCAACTCCTGGCTGAAATATTTATCAGTGGATTGCAGTCCCCCCCCCACCCCCCCCGCCCCACCGTAGCTGGCAGTAGAATTATTTTGGTTAACTGAGTAAGGTGGTTTTGTGGGTGATCTTTTCTTTTCACCGAGATAGTCAGTTCTAAATGGGGTTCTCCCCCTCCTGGCAGCATTGATTGTGCCGGGATCCTGAAGCTTCGGAACGCCGACATTGAGCTGCGGAAAGGCGAGACGGACATCGGCAGGAAGAACACACGGGTGCGGCTGGTGTTCCGAGTGCACATTCCAGAGTCCAGTGGGAGGATCGTCTCCCTGCAGACCGCGTCTAACCCCATCGAGTGCTGTAAGTTGGGCTTTGGGCAGGGTCGGCTTCTGCAAAGTGTACTGTATGTGACCTTCCACCCGGGGCAAGGTGCCCGGCGAGAATACGCGGGACTCACAAGGGTCCATAGGGGGCCCAGGAGGACCCAAGGGCCCAGAGACAGAGCCCATTTAACAATTTCTCTCTGCTTCTGTTTACTTGTGGAAGGTTTCGTGGTCTCACAGGAAATTAAAAAATAATACAGCTAATGAGTAGCCTACAGCTTTGTTTAGAAGATTTGAAATGTATAAATGTTTTGGTCTTAAAAAGGTAGATGCAGTTGGAGTGGGTTTACTATACGCAGTGTCCTCTTTTCCTTTTCCTTGCCTCTCCTTTCGATCAGAAGAGCATCCCAGTGGCTCTCGCCTCTGGAGCGGTGACTCTGGGGGTCACAGTGCTGAACGCTCAGCCCTCAAGAGCTCATGGAGTCTTCACGGCAGTCTTTGGCAATGGCTGGTGCCGTGATGCTCGTTTTGTAGAAGAGGGGGGGTGGGGAGAGCTGAGGGGTTGCTAACTTGTACCAGCAGGCCTGAAATGTGAACAGGGAGAGATGCCCAAACAAAGATGCAGAGGAATCTTAGAATGATCTAGTGTTCAGTGGCCAAGACCTGCCATGGGGATGGGAACCCCCCCCCCCCCACCATCCACCCTAGCAGGAACTGGCTCAGTTCTCATCAGGCTTTGAAAAAAGAAGCCGCTTTGAGCTCATTCACGGGTACTTGAGGCAAGTTTTGTAGTTGGTTTTTGCTTTTAGACATGGCAAAACTTATTGTCTGCTCTGGGTTTGAGAGTTCACAAATCACTTGTCAGAGCATAAAGAAGAAAAAGGTAAACATTGTTGCTGAAACCAAAGCTATTTATATTATTTTTTAGTTTCTTCTAAGTATTTTTTATGTTGTTACAATCATGTTCTGTATTCAATTATGTTTCAGGATTCTTTTTCCTTTTTACTGGATATTTTACCATAAGTCTGTGTCACAAAAATCCGTTACCTATGGAGGCCAGGGAGGTCCCATGGAGGAGTGGAGTGGCTTGGTGGTGGCAGTAGAGAGTGGTGGAGACCAGGGAGCAGGGCGACACATTCCCCCCTTAAAGGGACTGCCTTTATGTCACCCCAGCCAGTATTTCCATGTGGGCATGTAGGCCAGGGGTGGCCAAATCCTCTGACTTTCTAAGACAAACCAAAAATCTCCTGATTTTTAAAAAACCACAACAAATTCAAAATACTGTGTGGATCAGAGGAAATCTTCATGTGGCTTTGATTAATCAGAGGTAGTCTTAATCAGACATTAATGAGTAAAGCAAACGCATGAATATCTTATGCAGAGAGGGTTGAGGAAGACTGGCCCTCAGGATTGAAAGCCAACGAGGAGAGAGCGTGGGCCCTTGTTGGGAGAGAAGCCAGAACTTGGTCTTGGTTGGTCTTTGGAAAAAGATGAAGGGGCCCTGTGATTTCTTCCAGCCTGCGAGTCATGATGTGGATCAGGCTGTACGTGGTGGTGAGTCTGTCCTCTGATGTTAGACGAGAAAGACCCAAGAGCAGACAACAAGGGAAAGCATGTGTTGAAAAACATCATCTCAGAAGCATTGGAATTCCCCTCCTCTACCCAGCAGACCCCACCCCTGGCCCCTGAGTGCTAGTCATGGTCGCTGCCTCACTCCGCTGTTGTTTTTGAACATCTCGAGATGTTTTGGGAAGGAAACTTGGGCTCTTCCTCAGTGATTTGGGGGGATTTTGAGAAGATAAGGTCTCCTCTTTCTGGCAAATGACTCACACTACAGGATGGGGCTGTGGTTTGCAGCAAGGTGGGGAACAGGAGGCCTCAGGAGAGACCACATGCCAGAGCCCCTGTTTCTCTCCATGTTTGGGTCGCTCGGGTCAATGTATCTCCTGTTGATCTGAGATTTTAAGGAATCACCATTGAACCACATCCACCTCCAGCAAGATCTTCAGGGTGTTATAAACTTGTTTGAATCTTGAACATAGGCTTTTTCTGTGTTTGGCTGACTCAACCACCTCCTTTTGACAGATAAGGAAACAGAATTTCTTGGTAAAGTGATTCACTCGTTTTTACTCAGTAGGTAACAGAGCCAGAATCTCCAGCTTTCTAGTTCTGTGAAATACCTTGAGGTTTCTAGAACACCAGTTTCTTACAGTACCAGACCGAACCACCAATTGGTCGCTCTCTCTCTCTTACTCAGAATCCTCTGTCATTTTTATTCCCTTCTTTGTTCTATTTGCCTAGACCACTGCCTGATAGTTCTATACACATTTATTGGCTAATGGACTTACTATATGATCCCTAGGGAGATAATTCAATAAATATTTACTGACAGTCCATAGCCTGTGTGGACAGAGTATGTGTACGGTAAGTATTTATTGACTGGTTGACTTAGTATATACCCCGTGGGGAGGGTGATTTGGTAGGAAAGACTCAGTGGGCTGGTACTTATTTGCAAGGCTAGCTTACTTACACTTTGGAGGTGCCACTTATATACCATCTTGGGCATCAAGGGTAAGTTCTCAGATTCTAGTGAAAAAAACCCAAAAACCAAAAACCAAAAAACTTGAACAAACTACCGGAGGCCACTCTTTGGAAAGTGGACTAATTTGCTAGAAACGTTGATTGCTTACATTTCTTCACAGGTCAGCATGCCAGAGGTCAAATCTCACCTTCGTGTAGACGGGCAAGCCGTGTCTTTGTATTTCCATGCTACTTCCCCATTCCCACAAGATCCTTCAGTATTGCCAAGGAGATACTTAGTTCCCTCCCTCGATTGTCAGCAGAGCTGATTTTTGCAGCTTCCCTAGTGCTCCTGGCTCGGGGCGCCGCCCCCACCCCTTCCCACTGCTGATGACAACCCACAACCCGCCTCCTGCTTCTCCAGGCACACGGGAGAGGCCAGGAGGGCACCCTCGTCTTCCCTGATGACACACCCCACACCTGGCTCGCAGCTGCAGGGCCTTTCCTCCTCCGGAGCCCAGAGATGGGGCAGTTCTCCTTTCCTCAAGAGTCCTCCATGTTCTCAGCATCAATGCTACTTTCTTGGGGTACTTGAACCCTTGCGTCCCTCTTGTAGCACTTTCCCAGGGCTGGCATTGACCAGGTGCCTCTGACGGGGAGGCTCGGAACGACAGACATCTGTTGTCTCACGGTTCCGGCGGCCAGAGCCCAGAATCCAGGTTTCAGCCGAGTTGTTCCTTCTAGAGGCTCTGCAGGGGAATGTTCCAGGCCCCTCTCCCAGCTGCGGGTGGTGGCCAAGCAGTCTTGCACGCGTCGGCTTGTGGGGGCATCACTCCAGTCTCTGCCTCCTGCTCTCGTGACCCTCTGCTCGGTCTCGTACAAGGACACTCTCATTGGGATTGGGGCCCATGCTGATCCTGCGTGATCTGCCCTCCATCCTCAGCTTATTTACACCTTCAAAGACCGTATTTCCAAATACAGTCAGGTTTGAGGTTCTGAGTGGCTGGGGAGTTTTGGCCGGGGCTCTGTTCAGCCTGGGACACCTCCTCAGCTGCATTTCTTGACTTCATGTACTCTCTGCTCCTCGGTTCCCAAATCCACTAGCATCTTTCTCTGACTTCTTTCTTGGCTTTTGCCCACGCTGTCCCCTCCATCTGGAACACTGGTTCTCAAACTTGGCAGCACGTTGGAATCACTTGGGGAGTTCTTAAAAAACAGTATGATGCCCGAATCCCACCCCAGAGATGGCAAGTCTTTCGGTCGGTGGTGGGGTCTACCCATGGAGACTTTTCGGAGGTTGCCCGATGATTCGGCTATGCTTCAAAGCTTGGGACCCTCTGACCTTGCCTCCCCTACTTCTCCCATCCTCCAGTCACTGGGCTCATTCTTCCTCATCCAAGGCTGCCGTTCACATGGCCCCTCAAGGAGGACGGTTGCCCTGACCCCACAGGGTACGGGGGCCCCCGCTCTGAGCTGACAACCCAATTTACATGTCAGTCTCTCTCACGTAAGGATGGAGACCAGAGGGTGTCAGCCAGGGCCTGGCACATAGTAACTATCTCTAGAATGTTTGTTTAAAAAAAAAAATAGTGAAAACAAGCATCTCCAGGCTGCCCGGCGGGAGAGAAAAGCAATGAAGAGACAGAGGGGGGCTGTCCATGGGTGCAGAGGTCTTGTCCCGTGAACACCTTTCCATGGGTTTTCTCCCTGCCCCGCAAAGGGGCATCTCTGTTCATCGAGTTTCAGAAAACACCGAAAGCAGTCTTCCAGCAAGTCCTGCCCACTCCCAGCGCAGAATGGAAATTCGCTCCGCTCCTTTCGCAGGGCCTGGGCGGGTGGGTATATGATGGGGACCGGCACCTGGATTTTCTCACAAGCTCTTTTCGGTCTCTCCCTTTTTGTGACATAGCTGGGTTTTACTGAATTCTAATTAAGATACAATAAATCACGCAGACTGCATGTCTTCAGCTGAGTGATTTTTGACAATTCACCATACCTGTGTGACCACGACTCGAAACGAGACCCAGGACATTTCCTTCCCTCCTGGAGGGGCCCTCATTCCCCATCAGTGCTTCCTCCCCAGCCCCCCCCTCACCCCCCGACACAGGCAACTGCTGTTCTGATTCCTATCACCATAGATTAGCTTTGCCTGTTCTGGAACTTCATGTAATGGAATTATACAGCATATGCACCCTTGTGTCTGGCTGGTTTTGCTCAGCACGGTGGTTTTGAGACCACTGCTGTTATGCTGTGACTCGATAGTTTATTCCTTTTTCTCTCCGAACGCTATTCAATTGTGTGACTATAACGATTGTTTATATACCATTGATAGACATTTGGCTTGTTGGCGGGGTTCGGGTGCTGTGGAGAAGGCTGCCATGAACCTTACCACTTCCACTGCTCCCAGGTAAATACTTGGGAATGGAATTGCTGCTTCGTGGGGAAAGGATGTGTTCCAATTTAGGTATTTCCTAGATCATTTTATACTCTGTGCGAGAGTGCGTGGGGGTTCCGTGT